TTCATCCCTCCCCCGGCAGCCGGCGCCGCGGGGGAGCTGCTCTCTGGCCCCACGGATGCTCCAAGGGGAATTCTGCACCCCCAAACCCCGTCTGGAGTTGTCTCCTGGGCTGCCCTGGAAGCGCAGGGGTGAAGCTGTGCAAAGCTGTTGCCCGACCCCCCAAAAAAAAACCCAGGAGGGCTGGGTTTTGAGCCCCCCCCAGCAGCACACGGGGGGGTTTCTCTGGCACGGGCTGTCACTGCCCTCCCAGGTTTATTCTCCTCCCGGCAAAGCCCCCCGGCCGTGCCCCAGCGCCTGGGCTGACGGAGGGGTCATGTTAAGGGAACGGAGGGTTTGGAGGTGATTTGGAAGCCGAGGAGCTGCCGCAGCCCTGCCCGCCCGTCCCGCAGCATCGCCCCGGGGGCAGCGGCACCGCCGCCCCTTCAGGCAGAGAATGGAAAGTTCCCCGACGCCTCTGGGGACCTGAAATGCTGCCTGGGAGCCTTTGTCTGAGGAATTCGGCTCATTGTCAGGGTAAGAAACCTCCACCTGCAAGGCAAAGAGAAAAGCAGGCTTAGGAAAGCGGCCCGGGGCAGGAGGAGGATGGATGTCCCAGCCCCCCGCGGGGTGAGGAAGGAAGCCCGGGGTCTTCCTCACCTCTCAGCCCTGCAGCTCAACCTACCCTCCCAGCACAGGGATGGAGACGTGGCAGTGAAGCTGCAGGCAGCTGGCCACCCCACGGGGTGATGTCCCCATGGTGCTCCCCACAGGGCTCTCCCACCTAATCCCACAGCTGCATTTCAGCCCCTCATGCCCCCAGCGAGGCTTTTGCAGCCGTCAGGGCTGGGGGACCCTCTGTTCTCCAGCCTGGACCATCCTCAGCCACATCCTGCCAGCCAGGATCAACGTGGAGCTGCCTGGGAATGCCACATCCAGGGACATCCCTCAGCACAGGGAGGGAAGGCAACCCTCAGGAAGGGATTGCCCCCCCCCAGGAGCTTTTCCCTTCGTGGGATTTCTCTCCCCAGAGGCCCCCAGCTATGGAGGATTTGCTCCAGCCCTGCCCAGGACAAACCTACAGCAGGTTACACGGTGGGAAATGCCACTGTCACCACACCCTGGCAGCAGCAGTGGGGACAGGACCAGCCCTGTGCCCGGGGGGTGCTGCTTGTCATGGATTCATCTCGTTTTAGGAAAGTAGAGGAAAATAAATGGAAAGACAAAGTGCCATTAGTTTAATGGGCTCTATGTTCCTGCCATCTGTCTTCAGTTGATTAAATAAGAAATATTGGTGGAACATATGGCATGAATTATACATCAATATTTTAATTTGCATTCCCATAGTGGTTATTGGGATACCTCTGGCTCCACTGGGTGAACTTTTGAGGAGCTCAGAGCTAGGCAGAAGGCATGGGGTTGATTGCTGGGTGGGCACAAGCCACTCAGGCTGCCCCAAACCACTCCCTCCCCAGTCATGCTGGGGCCAGCACAGCCTTAGTAAGGGCTGAGTAAGCTCAGAGCAGCAGCTGAGCAAGGAGACTCCTTGTTATCCAGGCTTTTGCATCTGCAGACACCTCTGTTGTGGGACAGACATCAGAAATTAAAGACCCTTTGTTATATTCCAGGCTTCCTTGCCATAGGACAAAGGTCCTGCCAGGCTGTGACAAGGAAGCACAGCATATAAAGAAGGGGCTTAAATTACTATCATTAAACCGTCTGCAGCTCATCCTTCTCCATCACGAACTGCAGAGTCACAGGTCAATTACTGCACATTTGCATATATTCCATTAATGCTTCTGCTAATTGTCTGGAGGAGATAATGCCCTCAGCCCAGGGGTCCCTGCCTGGCTACTGGTTATAAACAGCAAGTGCAGCAAATCAAACCAGCACCAGTGCTCCCTGTATCAGGTGAGGTTTGGGACACTGGGGGCTGGTTGGGGTGGCTGTGCAGCCACCCTGCTCCTCCAGACCCCCTTGGCACCCAGAGCCAAAGCAGGAGCATCTCCCACTTTACACCATTACAAGAAGGCAGCAGGTGCAGCTGGGATGGGGTTGCTGGTTCCTCACCAACCTCCATCACCAAACTCCTGCCAGGAGCCCAGATCCTTGTCCCAGCAGCAGGATGCCCAGTTGAGCATCACTCTGCACCCAACCCACCTCCCCCTGCAGCAGCAGAGAGCTCTGCCATTGCTGTGGAGCCAAGGAAAAACTCATTGATTTCCAAGATTTATCTCCCCCCCAGTTCCCAAGCAGAGCCAGTGCATGGAGAGGTGGGCACTGGTCCCAGGGGGGCTGCACGGAGCAGCCCAAGCATCCCTACAACTCTGAGCATCCCTGAGATCCCCGAGCATCCCCACACCTACTTGTGACTGGGATGGAAAGCAGCACTGAGCAATTATACACGTGGGTCTTGTCTCCAAATTGCTCTGCAGCCGCTGAGCCCCGAGGTTCCCTGCCCTCCAGCATCACCTCCCATCTGACCAGGGCAAAACACACCGAGGGGCTCACGTGGTTCCCCCAGCACAGGAGAACAATCAGCCCATTAAACCCAGCAAATTAACCAACACAAGAGTTCCATTAGGAGGAGAAGGCAGCCGAGCTATCCAGTTTCATCACATCATTAGCATTTCTTATCAGAGGGACTGGGAAAGAATAGGGCTTTGAAATCCGGAGGGGTGGAGTCTAATGAGTGCAGGACAAAGTGCCAGGGCCCTGCCCTGGAGGGTCCCATGGGGAAGAGCACAGCCCTGCACCCTGCTGGGTACCCTTGGGTGCACAGTACAGCTCCCCCCCCAGGCTTCTGCTGAGGTCTGGAAATGTGCAAGGACTCAGTGCATGGTGTGCAAGGATCCAGCCCAGCATGCCCCCTGGACTTGCTGTCACCCAAACCCCACCTGCTTCAGTGCAGGGACCACCTGCCTTCTCACCTGCCCATGTCACTCCATCCTTGCCATCAGCTCTATGGGATGCCAGCAAGAGGTGACCACTGCCACCACAGAGCAGCTCCTGCAGCCTCACACCCTAACAACCAGTGACACCAGCACGAGCACCCAGAAGCACCAGGCACCCTGGGTGCTGGCATTTTTTAACCTCCATCCCTAGGGACTGACCACAGCAGGGGCTCAGCTTTGCTGCCTGGCAGAGACTGGCAACCTGAGCTCCCACCAGCTTCTTCAGCCCCATCAAAATGCATTTTCACCCTTCCTCACTCTCTAAAACAGAAGCAGCAAATGAGATGCAAATAACATTACTGGTGGGAATAAAACAGAGCTAAAGTGGGACATTGAATGGTTTGTCCCAGCAGAACACACCTGGACCCCCTGCTGCACCTCCTCTCCAGCACCCACCAGCCCAGCTCACCCAGCTTAAACCTAATTCAAGATCATTTAGTCAGCTGCTCCCTGGCTGCAAGTTGCTGAGAGAGGAGTTGGTGAATCCCCTGCACCGGGAGGGTGCTTTAAAACTGCTGACTCGGCAGTTTTCAGGTGTGACAGCACGTGATGGCTGCTCCATCCCCACTGGGGACACTGCTCACACCAGCACCTCTCCCTCACCAGGGAGATGCTTCCCAGGCATATCCTTCCTGGGGGAGCTTTTAAACCCCTTCCCACAAGCCAAACCACCAAGATACACAAAGGTCAAACCTCTTATTTGGGATTTATTGGCCTGATTTGTAAATCCCGAGCAGGACTTGCCCATCTGCCAGTGGATTTTCTGCACAGGATTTCCAAGCCTGTTGGAGGGTTTGTAAATCTTCCTCCTCACTAAGAGTCAATGGAGAGGTTTGGATTGAAATTAGGCAGCTAACTTTCCTGCTTATGGGCAAACAAAATAAAATAAAACATGTTTCAGTATTCTGGAGATGATCTATTGATGGTCTCAGCACTTGCCCAGGGCTGTGGCACCACAGCTGGGTAGGAGGCACCAAGCTGGGGGCTATTGTAGATCCTTTCATCCAGAGGGACCAGTCTGCCCCAGACTAATTGATTCACATCAATAAAAGGCCTCGAGATGCACAGAAATGAGGCCATGCTAATTGCCTGGCCTCCTATTAGTGCTCCCTGTTCTCTCCAGGGGATGCAAACCCCTGCACACCAGCCCTGTTTTGGAGTTATAAATAACCCCAGGATGAGGGGCTGAATCCTGCCCCAGGTTATTGCAAGGCAGAGAGAGTGAGTGATCAATGCCACACAGAGAAGCCCAGGGTCTGCAGCACATCCCAGAAGGGCTATTTAACCAAGACTATTTAAGCAACTTTAACCCCATTTTCAAATACTACAAGATTTGCTGTTGAGCTACCTGGGATTGCAAATACACTCATCCCACTCACACCCTGTAGCTATTGGGGCCAGGGATTTGCTATGGGGCAGATCAGGTGCTCCCAAAACAAATCCAAGCAGGAATACCCAGCCCCTGAAAGCAAGGCAAAGTAAAGCTCCTTGCTTCCAGGACACTGGTCACCAGGTAACCCCACCTCTGTAGCCTGAAGAAGCTTTCAAGGCTCCACTCCCTTCCCTGTGCATTTTGCTTCACCGTGGCCCAAGAGCAGAAATGGGTTTGTTTTCATTCCCCCTGTTCTCTGTGCCTCTGCAGGCAATTACATCCAAGTCCCTTCCAGCCTCTCTTCAGATGAATTCTCCCTTGCAAGTGTGAGAGAGGCTCATAATAATATTTTAAGCCGTGAATCACTTAAAAAGCACACGGAGGCAGAGGAGGGACCAGCCTTGTGTTCCGGGGATGTCAGCAGGCAGGGGATGGCAGGGAAGCAGGGGGGTGGTTTAAACCAGCCAGTACAGCAGAGATGTTGACTGTGCCCTACGTTACAGAGTTGTTATTATCATTTTAATTAATCTGTAACAATCTATGCACTTACCTGACTCTCTCCATTAGGGTTATCCCACCTGCCAGGACCTGGGTTTCCTTTGGCAGGGCCAGAGCACATTTGGGGAAGGAGCAGGGAGCTCCCTCATTTGCTCCCCTGGTTAATTGCACTGGGAGAGCCACACACAGGTGGGCTGGGGAGCAGGCATGATCAGGATCCAGCTTTGCCTTCAGCCACAGAAATGAGCCACCCGGCACAGCCCTCCCCAGGCACCAGCCCTGCTGCCAGTGTCAGCCCCAGCCCCACGTGCAGGGCTGAGAAAACTATTTCCTTGGTATTTCCATGTTTTTCAGAACAGGAGCTGCATTTGGACATGAACAGTGTCAGGCCTCTGCCAGCATTTAAGAGGGCCCCCCCAGGAGGTCTCAAAGACCCTAAGGGATGCTCCTGGGTTGCTCCCTCTCCTGACACCCTTTCATCACTTAAACCCTGTGAAAAATAGGTGATTTAACTTCATTCAGATGACTCTGCACGTCTGTAAATGGGCTTAACCTAATGAGTTTTAATACGTTTTATGTCCTCTGTACTTTATGCCCAGTCTGCAAAATCCAGTTATGGTTTTCAATAAGACTTAGTGAGCTGAACTAGGTACGGGAGGGGATGAGCAGGCTGCTCCCAAGTGGGTGAGGAGGAGGGTGGGAGGAAGGCAGGATCTGTTCTCCCCAGGAGACACAGAGGTTTGAGATACCAGGGCTGCCCAAGCCTCCTGTGGCTCTGGAAGTGGCAGGGCTCACTGTCCCTAAAGCCTTCAGCCACTCCTGTAGCCAGATCCCAGTGCAGGCAGAGCCCTGGGACCCGCTGGCCCCATGAGCATCCCAGCCACCAGCACCATCCCCACCACCTTGGCAAAACAACTCCAAACCACAGCCACCAACACATCCAGAGCCTGTGGGCTCCTTATTCTGGAGAAATTCTGCAGGACTGCTGGTTTTGCTCTCCTGTGCTTAAAGGAACAAACCCTGCAGCCAAACCTCAACAGGTTTGATCCTGAAGTTTTGAGCACCAGAACCAGTCCTGGCTCCTGGAGTCATGGGAGTTGATGAGACTCAGCTGCCAGGCACCAAAGGAAGATTCCCCAGGAGAAACCCAAACACATCCCACCAGCAGCTTCTCCAAGACCTCCTCCTTGTGGTACCTATAGCAGCATAAATCCCACGGAGACCGTGATGGGATGCATAGGGGGCATCACCTAGGAGGTGTGACACACACGTCCCAGGGGGGTGGCTCAGCCCCACCAAAACATTTGCCATGGACCCCCTGCTACAGGAGGGTTTGGTCCATTATTAATCCCCATGAGCCTCCCAGGCAGGGAAGAACTGAACTGGCTTTGGCTATGAAGCCCCTGCTCAGCTCCTACAGGTCTGTGCACAGAGACTCTGCTCAGCCCTCAGTAATCGGGGATTAAACGCAGCGCTGGGGCAATTAGGAAAAAACAGCTTTTCAGGCAGCAGACAATGCCTGCTGCTGCCTAGTGACATTAATGTAGTGAGAAGGATTATTCCTTGGTTTAAAGCCTGCTCTCCTGGGGGGAAGGTGGGAGGGCTGAAGTCTTTCTTTCCCTGCAGACCCAGCAGCATCACATCCAGCTGCTCTTGGGAACTGGAGGTCCCATTTGGGAAGAGATCTGCCTTTCCCATGAGTTCTGGAGGGACCAGGATTACCCTGATCTTAGCTCAGCATGGGGGACAGACCCTGCTTGTCCCCAGCAGCAGGGTGGGCATATTCCTCACTGAGGGGACTCCTGCTCCTCCCCCAGCTCCAGGCTGCATAGGGGACCAGCACATTGCAATGGAGGTACCAAAGCCCAGAGGTTTCTATCCCAGAGCAGAGCCAGGTCCCTGCAAGGTGACCAAGG